AGAAAAACAAAATATCAGAGTTCAAAGACGAACTAAATTCGGAACATAAAATATATTCTTTTTAGACTGCCATCGTTAAGATTCGGGAGCATTGTAGCAACAAGATTTGAAGCTACGAATCGTGAGTATTAGACCTGCTCATCAAGTCTGAATAATGCAATGAAAAGTTGAACTCTAAATAATAACTATTTATATATTTAATAGATATTATGTACCAATATCAAATTAAAGATCAAACTTTGTGTGTTTTTTTGCGTGTTCAATGGGTTCCTTGAAAACACGGTTGGATCCGATAGTTAGTAGGACGATCTTTGTAGTATTCGCTAGTTAATCACCAATATAGATTTTTTTATATTTTCATATTTAATGTAATAAATTTTTATTTTAATCTGTCCGGAAGAATATTTGTCTCTCTTTCACCTACACACTAATTTGTAGGTGAAAGAGTGACAAATAATCTTCCGGACTCGAAAGTCACATTTATGGTCTTTATGGGATATATCCATATATACCGGCGTCACCTCTAATATACATATAATTATATATATTTTGAAATTATATTATTTTAATTTTAAATGCAGCTATTCAGTTGTTAAACCACACCACCTTGAGACACAGATCAATGAATCTGAAAGTGAATCAGTGAACATGAAAAATTGTATTCAACTAAAACAAATTCTTCCGGCCCGTTGGATGCCGACGTGAAATTCAAAATGGTGCACCATTATTCTGTTTCAGTTAAAGTTGTAAAACTTTCTACGGAACTGTTGTGAACATATTGCGCTCATTCAATGTTGTTGAAAATGAAAATTATGGCCGTTTAATTTATATGGTTGAGAGGTTTTCTTTTAAGTTAATTGAAAATATATATTCAAGAGGCCGGAAAGGCTGTGAAGTCACAGAAAAAATATAATTAGAAGTGGAGATTATCATATAAATTCCGCCAAGAAAATAGTTTTTAACCGTGATATCGACTTTATGACCGGGGTATTAATTGATTTGACAAAAAAAACATGTCCTTCTTGGTTCCGTTTACTCTGTCAAATGTCATGACAATTAGTTAAGGCAACGTAAGATAGATAGAAACAAAAACTCTCATCTGCCCCTAACCTCATATAGGTACTGCTATACTTGAGTATTAAGATGTATTTTTATGTATACTCTGGAGGGTCAGTGTAAGATGATAAGTTGGGGACAAAATGAAGTCAGTTAACCTGTCGCTGCGAATTCGCGAGGGGTCGAGAGGAAAGGACTTAGCGACGGCCCACGGCCCACGGCCCACCTGATGGTAAACTGTAACCCCTCTGTCCTCTATGTACATAAACTTGTATGTTCTAAAGGACCATGTCATGCCGTTTATACTGTAATTTGACTGCCTGATTGCTAGCAATGGGACCAGTCAACATTACTAATAAACTCTTTCCTCTGGATTAAAATATTAGGTATTTGTACACAATGGACAATTTCTGTTAGAACGAGGTTAGCAATCGATGATTAGACTGGCTGGTATGGCAGATGAAGTATGTTTATATATTTGAAAAGAGAGTGTGTGTCATCTTGTCTGTCATCGTATTGATGTAACTTATCTATATTATTGTGTATTATCTTCTTACATATAAATAAAATTGGAGTGTCTGTTTGTAATATGTATATAAACGTTTTATGTACGTATATGGATATATATACGGTACATAAACCAAAATAACATTTTTTATCATTTTTGTCTGTCTGTATGTCGGTCTGTTTGTTCCGACTAATCTCTGAAATGGCTGGACCGATTTTGACGGGTCTTTTTTAGTAGGTAGCTGCTGTAATAAGGAGTGACTTAGGCTACTTTTATTTTAGAAAAAATCTTTTACTTTAGAAAACTAAAGTCCAAGCGGACAGCTCGTATATTTAACAGCTAGTATTCAATATATTTTGTTAATCAATATTTCTATCTTGTTTACTTAGGCACCACTATAGTTACTCTGTTAATGTATGGCAAGTTCAGAGGTAACTGCCCTCACAATTTCATTTCCACATGCTATTCGATAATTTAGACATATTCATCTTCCAGGCGGCAATTTTGTACAAATTTTCACCCTGGTAATATCAAACAATCAAGATCATTATGTACATAAGCCATCGTTGTAGTAATAAGTTGATTACATTTCCCTATAATATTTTACTTTCTCCTTTCATATCCGCAGAAAGGCTCTCACAAAATAAACGAATAATAATTTGTTAATTTTAACAACTTCTACAATTCCCTAGGCATTCACTGTCATTACTAAGAAATTCATGAATGTTTGGCTATTTCTCAAAATTCCCGAGTGCCTGATGTTTAAATCCAAACATTTATTATGCAAATAGCTTACAAGGGGTATCTTCGTGATATTAATTCCAAAATATTTTAAACAATATTTTAACGTACAATAAAAATAAAGTTATTATACTCATTTATCATTTGCTTGCACCTATAGGTACGGCATGCTTAGATTTTTAATACCAATAAAGAGAAATTTAAGTTTTTGCATGAAAGAAAACAACATCAATCCATTCTCAAAAACTGTCACTTTGATTATGTTGTTGATGTTCTGGCCACTTAGTTTTATAGTTCATATATATTGTATTTTTTATTATTGAGAATTTTTGCATACAGAATATTTGTCTAATAAAGTTTTTTGATAGACAATGACAACACATTATATTAGTAGTATTATATAGTTTTGTTCATTTGTTCATATCCATATAATAAATGCTTAGAATATCACATATTTTAAACAGTCGTCTTTAGATATGTTCTGTATTATGTACAGAAAAGTAAATACTTGACAATTTACGTTTTTGACTGTTTCTTTTTAATAAAACATGTTCAAAAAGGTTTATATTGTAGCCTGTTTTAATTAACTTTGTTTATTCATTAAAACATAATTCTTATAATTCTCTCCTTTCGCACGTAATTTATTCGCGAATTTCCTGAAAATTTATATCAATTTCCTTAATTAGTAACAAACCCTTCTTAATACATCTTGCTTTCTTTAATAAACAAGGACCCTGGAATTATACTAGTCTGTTATTTATATTGTATATTAAGATTATTCAAAAATAATAGAGTCCTGATTGGTGTATGATCATGAAACTGTTCCTGTTCACAATGAAAAAGAATTTGTGAACTCTGATATTATATTGTTCCCGTGACGACGTATTCTAAATTAAGTTGAAATTTGCTTCATTGGGGAATTTTCATGAATACTATAACTGACTTTCGACTTGGTACAACGACCATTATAATTAACCTTGTGTATCATCGAACTCTATTTTAATCAAGAATTGTAAGCATGTTGCTTACAATTCTTGTTGTATAGTTGTATATCTAATCCCTATTCTTTTATTGCTATACTCGGATATAGCAATAAAAGAATAGGGTCATAAGGGTCCTGTCATAATATCATCGCCATAATAGTACATGAGTATGTAGGTACGCTACAATAACATACTTAGACGGAGATCTTGAAATCTTTAATTACTACCTCTTTCTCTCTTTTGAGTAATGTACATAATATACGATGTAATAGATAATAGTTCTCTGTCTGGATATCTCTTTGGCGTTTATTTCTGCCATTATGCAGGGCTTTGTAAGCTGTGGTCTGGTTTGAAGCGGCAGTAAAATTACAAGGTACAGAGGCATGACATCAGCTCACATGACAATGTAATGACCACGATACTATTCGGGTATATAGACATCTATTAATTATGAGAAATCATGAGATGATCAAATTTTTTCCAAATAGAAGAAAAAAATAATAAAAAAAATAGAGTCAATAAAACAAACGTTCATTATTTAACTTATTTATTCAATGTGTGCACAATTAACGAGTAAGTCTGAAGTTATTTTATTCATTTGTACAACTTACAATATCAAATATTCAATTCAGGTTACACTTTGATTATATGTGGCTAATATACATGAGCAATTTATTCTGTAGTTTAAAACGAACGAATCAACAAATCATAACTACACTCTTTCTTTTCTCTACTGAAGGTCAAGTGTCTTCACTGCTTTTTCTTCAAAGAAATGGGTAGAATTGTAGGTAATATAACAAAGGCATGAACATGTGTAATGCATATCAACAATTGATAGTATTTTAAACATGTAAGTAAATAAATTAATTTTCTTATACCCTCGTGTCTAAGACAGTTTATATATTCGCCATACTTTTACATTAAGTTAAATACTATCTTAAATTTAACTTTATTATTTTTTCGATTCACTTATTAATATTGAATATTGTAATATATATAATACAATATACTTTTTAAGTCATTAGCAAAATAAAAATATATTGCCTAAATAATGTTCAGATTTTAAATTAGGCCAGATATTTAATATTCCTTAAGGTGCTATACTAACATGTAACACATGCAAACAAAGTGAAATAATCGAAGAATATAATAATAATATAGTCATTCAATTATTAATACTGCTTGTAATTATAAAAATGTATATAGTATTTTGAACATGTAAGAGTTATCATATTATCTCACTTTTGATCTCCTTCCCTCTCGGGGGAGATATTCCATTCTACTAGTATCACGATTCGGCTTGTTATATGGTTTCGAGTTCTTCTTATCATACTTGTAACATATCGATAGAAAAAAAGAAGGAAAACACGAATTGAATAGAGAGACAAACAGAGTATTTATTTTTCATATTAAAAACGTATATGCAATTTTTAATACGTTATATAATTCATGTTAGACTCATACATATGTATATACCGGTTTCAAGGTATTATGACCATGTAAGAAATGATAGCAAACATCAAATCACAGATCGAACGCAGGTTAATCTATGGGAATATTGTTGCTACATTATCTATTTAATTCTTTCTCTTTTTTAAGATCACTCTTGGTCTGTATCTTGTGGAATAATGGAATACGTCAGCCTAACTCAGCAGATTTATAGAAGTGCTTTTGTTTTTATTGTATAAACCATACACATAATATTATGAATTCGTTCATCTTAAACTACACTTGAAACATTTACACTGCATAATTATTAACAATACACACATAAAATATTATTGAACATGTTATTTCAATGAGTAAGTAAGTATTATATGCAAAATATTGTTTCTCAATGCTCTAAAATGTATGTTTTAAAAAAATTTTTTACCAAGACACTTATTACTGAAGACAACACAAAGTTATGTCTTATTAATAGGTACCTAATTACTTCTGACGCCTTTATGCTACTTTTTATATACAGTCATCAATATTTTCTTGTCCATTATTGTAAAAAGATGGTAACTTAACAATGATAAGTTATTAGTTATTAAAAGTATTAAAAGTATACCGGACGATACACAGATCTTTATTATGGATATAAATATTGTTTTATTAAGATACAGTTATTTACTTCTTAATATAAAATAAAAGTATACCTCTTTCTGTAATTTTTTTTTTTAAACGAATTAAACTCATTCCGATCGCAAAAAAAAATATAGAAATATGTAACGGAAGTACAAAACAAATGCAGCATTTTATTCTAGTAGACTACTTAAAACTACTTTTTAAATTAAACTACGAGATAAAAATGCTAATTAGATTATATTTACAGAACTAAGAAAAATTTATTTCTCTTTTCAACCTATACGTACAATATGATGATAGAAACAATATTTTATTTATTTATTTACAACGAATGAATTAAAACTGAATTAGTTATGATTAAGCAATACATTACATATAACGAGCTACATGTAACATGGAAGCACACAGAAATATAGATAGATACGTTGTTAATTACAATTGTTTATTTTTAACTATTCTGTTTAACCATACGATGTTTATGACAGTCTAAATCTCAACATATTAAATTCCATTCATATAATTAGTTTAAAACAATATATAATCATATTTAATTCATATTAAGTATATATTGTTTTAAATAAATATTAAAATTTTATTAATTTTATAATTGTAGACAATACTTAGGAAAAACCATAATTCGTTTTTATATAATATTAACATTTTGTCAGAACAAAATAAATTAATAAAATCATTGTATATTATAAAATTAGCTTAGACACATGCAGATAATAATTATAGACAACAAATATATAACGTGACAGTATAATAAATTGGAAATATAAATGTGTGGGTGTGGGATTTTTACAATTAATTTATTGTTCAAGAACAAAGTATCCGAACTTTGAACATTCTACTTTTTTTAGTGGTACACACGTCATAGATGGTATGGAGTGGTAATAGCTCCCTAAATGTTAAATTAAATTTCTGGCTTTGTTCTTCAATCATATTTAAATATAACTGTGGTCATTATGTTATTAAATTTTAGAAATGTCAAATACAAGGTTGAAATCGAAATAACTTTGATTGCCATAATAAATACAATTACTCCATTTCAACAGCTTAACTTTAATGTCAGTACATAAAATATTCCAACGTTACTTACTTGCAAAGCAGACTGTATCTACAAACAAATTTCTCGAGAACCTTTCATAGAGTTGAATAGCAACATAACGAGGGAACAGCAAACTGGAGATTTTATCGTTTCCTCCACAGGCGGAGTTGGGACATTAAAATGAAATTTGCGCTCGTTCCGAAAGAAATAATCTTTACAATGCATCGGCAGCCGTATAGTTACAATGTACACTTTTATCTGTCCATAATTCTTACCTCAAAAATGTGCCCCTTACTCGTCACTAATTTATTGTCACAGACATGCCTAGATGTCTCGTGAGGTTCCAAATATTCCAAAGTATTTATCCTCGCCAGGTCTGGTCCTCTCGTTTTCTACGTTGACTGGGGATATGTTTCTTTCTCTATTCAACACTATACACATATAATACAAGTCTTGTTTTAATTAGTTCACGTTATCGGCGTACACGAGCCTTCGTAACACTTGAGGCCTGGCTCACAAGTCCCTCTGAAACCACCGCAGTCTTCCCCTAGCGTCCTTGCGCAAACCTTGCAGCATCTGTAAAGAAAAGCACGCTATAGAGCAATAAAACTAAAGGTCACAGCCGGTGCGGTGGATATTATGCGGGTAATAGTTTATCGAACTGAACCTCGACTGCAACTATTTTTTATATATGTGTACACAATACAAATAACTAATGAGTTATCAAAATAAAGTTGTGAAAGCAATTTTCATTCATAGTGTACTTATAGTAGTGTAATGAAAACTGTCTTCAAAATTCAATTTACTATTGCAACAGGAAAACACGAACGAGAAACTGCCATTACACTACAGAAGCTGGTTGAAAATGAGACTATTTCGGGACTATAGTTTTAAAATCAATTCAACATAGTCATTAAAAATGAGAACTCCTCCTTTTTTGAAGTTGTTTAAAAAACGCACACACAACACACGCTGATATTAAGAGGTATTTTGATGGCGATTAGCTACAGAAACTAAAAGAAAGACCCCCTTTCTTATAGTTTCTGGTGTTAGTTAGTTAGGGAAGAAGGGAGGTTATTATAATAAATTACTTAGACGTTATGTTCTGATCAATATTCGTAATTAAATCTATGACTGAAATCAAATTAAACAAGAAGTCTCAACCTAAATAGAATGTAAATATCGACGGTACTTAGGAAGGATTATATTAAATTTACTAAACTCTAAACTTTATATGAACTTGTAGAGCTTAAGCTTGAATATAGTTTACTAACACAATTAACGGTGATCTCAGTTGAGTGGTCAGAGTCTAATCAAGTTGGTTATAATTTGATAGATTTAGGGCTCAACCTTTGACAAGGCTATTTCAAGATACGATTCACGGTATTGGTAATATAATTAATTTCTACGCTCGTACTTAGAATTAGTGGTTTACCACCCAACTTGGAACCCAAAGGTCGTCAGTTCAAATCTGTTGGACATCGGAAACATTTTATGTCAATATATATTTCTCACTGACTCTTTAGGTGGTGGAAAACTAATAAATAACCAAATTAATCCAAGTAATGTCGTAATGTGAGCATGTCAAGTGTGCTTTCTCCACGATGTCGATAATTGTTAACATCACTTATTACCCCATTTGTGATAATAAACGTCATGGTATATTAATATGATGTTAAATTTCATAAGTAATATTTAAAAATAACTTTCAAAATTATGAATTTAATTCTAATACCTAATCTTAGATTAATATATTTTGTGCAAAACAAAGTTTCTCGACTAGAGTTAGAACATTATTATCTTGCAATAAGTACCGTCTAGTCTAGAAACTTCAGTTATTGTATTCAATACAAAGAACCCAATTCCTACAGTGTTTAACCCAAAAACTTTGATCTATCGACTTATAACATCGGTCTATAGTTATTATCTAGTAACAATATATTAATTTAATTAAACATAATTTTATTAAGTTTAGTCATTGTGTTTAGAATATTTAAGAATTTATATCGGTTGTCAAGTAACCATAACATAAGCTTTGCTTACCGTGAGACTAAATGGCACTGTGTTAATTGTCCAGGGTCCTTCATTATTCAATTACATACAAAAATAAAAAAAACTAAGCATACTATTTATTAGGCTAGTTACGGGACTCTTGAATGAAAATTTATTGACAGTTGTATCAAATTAGTGAAATTTCTTTGATTTTGTTCACGATTAAATTTTACTATATAACTATTTTTTATTAATAATTTTAACAACGTATTATTTGTTTATGTTTTAGCGACTAAACTAAGCTTTAAGACGAAAGTTTTGTAATTGTATTAGTGGGCCCGTTTCCTTATTTTGAAGATCAGGAACGAAGTTCATCTAAGTGGATCAGTCCCTTCGTATAGCTCTGACTTGTTCAATCTTTTTTTCTTTGCAGTAATTCATTGATTTACAGTATTAGAAGTCTTATTTTCGACCACGTGGACTTTGCTAGTTTTTAATTAAATCTACATTAACAATAAATCCTCTCTTAGTTTAAACAATAACATACTCTCGGGTGACTCACAGGGCAGTAAAGCAGGCAGGTATTTATGACTGTACCTACCTGCTTTTCGCATTATTCAGGTTCACGTTGTTGAAATTGGTTCATCAAAAAAAGTATTTAAGTTTTATATAGAGTTCTGTTCCTGTATTTGATTTTGATACCTACTTTACGAATATCATCTTTCCTTTTGTTATATATATTACTATGTAATATTATGTTATCTGTGATATTACAAAAGAACCAAATGTTGTAAATAAGTACATTAAGGATAACATAGTCCGTCGTCCAAACATTTAATAAAATACAAAATATTCACATAAATTATTGCTTTGTCTTAATATTTATTTTCCTATATGTTTTTATTACTTTTTATGAATTGCATTGATTTCTGTTTATCTGTTACTAATCAGATATTAAGTACCAAGTAGTATATAATATATTGACGATGTAAAAAAACTCGGAACTAGATTCATTTTATATCATGTTAGATGATTATTAATTTCAATTATTAGTTAAAATTTGTATTACCCACTTAATTATTGCTTCATAAACAGCAGCGGGCAAAAAAAATGAAAAAGCTGATGTAAAGGAAAATACTACTCGTAATAAGGAAACGTCTCCTGGACAAAAGCCTTCGATAATTACCTTTTGTTACCAGAGATCTTTGTGAAATCTCTTGAGTAGTGTTCTCAAAATAACGGATTTAGTTACAGCCAACTTAACAGTATGCATGCAGAAAACTAAGTAAATTATTCCTTACTTGGATTCATTAATTATGTTTTATTTATAAGAATTGTATGTGTAAGTTTGAATACATTTAAGGTAAAAACTAGCTATTTACTGCAACTTAGCCGGGGCGTAACTTCTTATCACTCGTTCAAATGGGCAATTTAGAAAATCTCTTTTTAGTAATCATTATCGACATTAAAAAAAGCTTCCCTGATTACATACAATGTCTTTAAAACCTTAAAAATAGGTAGAGTTATACCGTTGTTCCATTGTCAAATGAAAATGATTGAATGGAATTTTAACTATTAATTGTAAATTAAATGATCAAATACTCAGTTCTAATAAAAATAGTTATACTGAAACAAACTATAAAGTAAAATATATAAATTTAGTCTATAGCGAAAACATTAACAACTAAGTTTTTGTTGAGTTGTCTATATAGACTAATTTCTTTTATTAACAGTTAGATTATTATTATTACCTTTTTCAGGTAGAAATACGTACTGAACTTATTAATAATGAAGATGGTAAATACTCATGAAATGAAAATGTTATTTACTTTTTTATGTAGACTTAGAAGAAGCAAGCACGTAGACGTTATTGATTTTCCACTAATTATCAACGTTCGAAATGTACGTTTACGTTTCTTTTAGCAAACAAATATTTTTTATTAAATACGGTGGCTCAGTGAACGGGCATTATAATAAAAAGTCTAAATATTATGCATAATCTTTAAACTTATATATAAATCTTTTCAATGCAAGTAACTAGATTTGTAAATAAAATATTTATACAAAATATATCATTGACTATACAAAATATATATTAGACTTTATACAGTCGCAAACTTTTCTAACGATATCTCCCAGGCATATATATATTTTTATTTTCTCCATTTGCATAATATAGTGATATAGTAATATTAGAGTAGGTAAGTAGATAAATAAATAATTTAGAAAATTTCTTTTTATTTTAATAAAACTAAGAAATTTCTTTGAAAATTTCAAGTGCTTTATTTTCTTGTAGTATACTTTAATTTTTAATAAACTAACTAGTTTTATATCTACACCATCTATAGTTAGTTAACGTAAGTTAAGAAGTAAGGAGGTATCACTCAGGTAAACAAAACAAAAAAAAACACGCAGACTAAATATGCCTTGCTTTATGTACTCACAAAATTAGGGTCTCTTGCTAATCCATTATTATATAATACGGGTACCCTTTGTAGTATAGCATCTAAGAAACAGTTTAATCTTAGCCCTTATGGAATACCTGAAGTGATTGAATCTCCGTAATGGATGCTTCGAACTGTAATACAATAGATACGCCAGTGTTCTTCTAGGTATGTTAGATTTCTTTCCCTGCGGGGTTTCTTAGACAAAGTCTATCCATCAATATTAAATCATAAGAGAACGAATGTAGGTAGTACATATACTACTAACCTTCTTTGAATTTATGTATACTATTAGGTATATATTATTTCAAGACAGCGAGTAATTTGTGTTATTTCTAGAACTTATTTCTACAATTCTATAAACATCAGATAAATATATATCTCATGTAATTTGTTCCCTGGGTGTTTGTATACTGAGTATTTTACGAGGCTAAAGTTTAAGTTATATGCTAATTTCTATGAAAATTCTAAAATAAATGAAAAAATCGATGTTTTAAAATCGCTTCTTTTATGAAGCGGTTTTTAAGCAATGATTTTTATTCTACAAAGAAAACCTGATGAAAAGAAAGTTGTAAGAAACTTATAGAAACATATAAGTTTTTTCAACTTCTAAGCTACTATAAAGCTTCTGCGCTACATTGGTAATTTTAGAAAATGAGGTGTAGTGAACTTCGACAGTGTTGTGTTTTGTTCAAAGAACCATCTATGTTGGTACTTTTGTGCATATTCTTGGAAAGTATATTTTATTACAAGTGTTATTTTATCTGTGGTTTATATCCATAGAGTAATAAAATATTTATATGGTAATTAACATGAGGATAAATGTCGCTATTTCTGTAATGAACGATTTTAATTCTACAAAGAAAACGTGACGAAAAGAAACTTATATGTTTTCATAACAGATAGTACTATACTAGTAAACTATTATAAAGGTTCAGTGCTACTTTGGTAATTTCTGGAAATGCTTGTTGTGAACCAGCGAACTGCTTTTAACAGTTGGTTACAGTTGCCTGTCTCCGTATGTTACGTAAAGTTAACGATATGTGAGAATTGTTTGACGTCCTTGGTAGTTTCACAGTTTAACACGCCGTCTTCCTTTTATATGTTAGTGGATTATTCGCGTACTACTTAAATAATAATTACAGAAGTACATTCTACATTATACTATAATTATTCCTTATGAATATAAAATTTATGAGTAAATATTTTTGTATTTTCTATATATATTTGGAATACATTTAACGAAAATATGAATAATTATCCAATTTAATTTTATTTAACATTAATAATAAATGTAATGAAAAATAAAACAAAATATTACAAGGGGTACAAAAGGCGGTCTTATCGCTAATGTAATCTCTTCCATACAACCTTAGAGAAAGAGAGTATGAATGAGTGGAGATAATTTGACAATCAAAAATATATATACACTTATGTAAATAAATCAAAATTAGGCATACGAATGTACACCGTAATAAGTTTAAAAGTAATTTATTACTAAGACGAAAAGTATTTAAATGGTCCAGAAAATTAAAAAAAAACTCACCTGCAAGGATCCCACACCACGATTCCAAGTCCTGGACAACCACTAGGCTCCAAAGCCTCGCACTCCCTCGGGTTGCAGACGCAGTCCCACCCCCGCACCGCCCCCGCAGCCACCACCACCGCCAACATGGCCAACCAACGGCTACTACTGGTCATAATGTCTCTCACATCACACTCGAATGCGACCCCACGCCTTTATATTGTCCATAGTAACGCATTCTCGCACATTTGTACCGGTTTACCGATGTTTAACAAAGTTTTCTCATTCTGAAACAATAAAAAATGATTGTTAGTATTGATTTTAAATGATAAAAGTTAATTTAAAAATAAACAATGAAACTGTTTATTCTTAATGTTATTATTATTAGCTGTCGAAGTTGTAGTGAACACAACACTTTAAATGCACACATTTCGCTCGGTATATATTTTTAATCCAACGGGAACCAACTAAGGTCCAAACCTACAACCCGATTCAATAATTTTTTAAGCATAAGGAGGGGTGTAATGTCTTTAATTATGTGACAATTTAATTTTTTCATTCGTCAATAGGAATAAGGTATACCTACCTCTGCTATGTATATCAAAATGTTGCCGTTACAATGTACCGATATTATCACCAATATTCCAAATGATATCAAATTAACAACTAACAAACTTTATCTACATCAAAGCGAATGCCGAGTAGAAGTTCAGCTAGAAATCAATTTAAGTAAATAACCGGGCTTCAATTTTCAACTAGCAAACTTCTGAAGACGTATATACGTATCTGTGTTAAACTTATAAATTAGTTAGCAAATTAAAATTAGTATCCAATTTTAGTATTTAAAATATTAAAATATGGAAATCTTGTCTTATGAATATTAAATCAATATTATTTCTACAATGAAACTCGCGGTCTCCAAATAAATAATGTTTAAAATATCTACCTAAACTAGTAAAATATACGTATATGTAATGATCATTATTTTTTATTATTAATAGTTAAAGTCCACTAATACTGAACGACTAAAATTCTTCCATTCAAAGCTACATTATCAAACTCACCTATTTGCACCTATGTGAACCGGCGTGGGTTAAATTTGTATATCTTATATTATTTTCACAAGTGATACAGATACTATTAGCATCGTTGTACATTGTCTTTAAAATTACAATTGTTACGTCGTTTGCTATAGACTTTTTTTCATTTATATAATGTCAATCAGTAGAAATAAATACTATTTATTGAAATTAATACATTTCTTTGAAGCCAACAACAGACCCCCTAATTTGTGGGCAAGATATATTCAGCATCCGCCTCCAGCGAAGTTCATTCTGTTGGTTGTTATTAGTGTGTTCAATAGAGAAGTTTCTAAACTTCGCCTCCCTCAAAATATGTTAGAAATGAGTTAAATTGGTTCTCTTTGTGTATCTATTAGCATTTGCAATTTCACTTGTTTCAAACAGTTCTATAGACATTATGGGAATATTATTCTAAGATTTAGTTAGAACAATTTGGAATTGTATCGACTTTTATATTAAAAATAATAATAACGATGCAGAATTATCAATTATTAGTCGGAACAAAAAACATGATATTAGTTTCATGGGCGATCATGGAGTGGTGAATAAGTAGTTGAGCATGAAGGCACTTTAGTTAGTCCATGGTGGCCAATTCAACAGAAATTAAACACGATGGTTTGCCAGGGGGAACCGAACCTAATTGAAAATGGTACATGGGATCACTAGTTCCCTTTGTTAATGATCCCTTCCCTACAAAGGGAAGTTTAAACGTGAAATATAATGAATTTTGCTTCGCAAATTTAGTGATAATTTTAGGACTATTGAAACATTTTGAATGCATATTTTATCTATGGTTACCATATGTGCAATAAAATGTTTTTTTTATAATACGGTGTGAACATATATCTACATAGATATCTATCTATATTCTCAATTCTCACTCGCATTTAATAAGCATCGATAATATAATGATTCAGTTTCTTGCATAATATAAAAAACAGAAATGTTGTTATTCATTGGAATTAGCATCTCAGCTACCAAGTTTTTATAAAATAATAAGGTATTGTGAAATAATATACAAGTATAATCTTCATTTTACTGAGTATAAATACAATTTTTTTTCAACCTTTCAAAACTGTTCATCAAGTCTTGATTTTTATTCGCCCATTGACCATTCATGGCAATCGTCTACGGTCATTATCGAACCGCACTTCTTTCAGAATTGAGCCATTTATCTAGGGCTGGGCGGCCGGTTTCCAATTTATACCTTGTTTTCACGTGAATTCATAGTCTAGGGAACCCCTATTTCGTAGATGGAAGGTTTATAATAGTTAGTATTTGATAAGCTACAAAATTTAATTTATTCTGTAGATTTAAACGTATTGATATTTTTAAAGGTATATAAGAAATGGTGAAGTTTTGAAGTGGAAAAAAAACATATTACAATATAAATAAGTAAAAGACAAGGATTTTTATGACAAGTAAAAAAATTGAATTTGATATTTAAGTCAAGTTCCTTTAGTTTTAGAAATATTGATTAGCCTATTAATTAAAATATATGTAGTTGTTATTAAAGAAAAAATGAACAGATTTATACAAAGTTATGCCATTATATGTTAATAGCAACAAAAATGCATTTTTCAAACTATTTTGAATACAAGTTCTATACATATGAGGAATAACTATACAAAACAAATAAATTTTAATATATATTTTTATCTAAGATCTATGAAATTTAAATTACAGCTCTACTTAAATATATTTCTAAATAGTGCAATAGCTTCTCTCTTTTGTATACATAATACAATGTACAACTAGAATATAATTCTTCCATATGTAAAATGGAAGTTAATTTCAATAAAATGTTAAACAGTTATATAAGTCGTTTTATTATTACATAGTATAAAACAAAGTCGCTGTCGCTGTCTGTCCCTCCATATGTATGCTTAAATGTTTAAAACTACGCAACGCATTTTTAAGCGCTTTTTTTAATTGATAGAGTGATTCAAGAGAAACTATTATACATATAATACATGTACACCCATGCGAAGCCGGGTCGAGCAGCTAGTAACTTAATAAAGCAGTGGAATATTGAATTGTAATATAGTACACCGACGTCCAATTCTTTGCGATTCACATGACAAATGCGGAACGAACTGTTCGTGCGATTTAATAGAATTTGCAAATTGGACAATATCGCAAAATTATTATTCAGTTTTGCTCAAAGTTTACACGAATGCAGAGTCCAATCAGTCTACATGATTTTAGGGAGCTACTTTTATGTATTTTTAGTGCGGTTGGGCATCGTCGAATGATATTTTCGAATCGTACCTACATTATATACAATTACAACATACATCTTTTTCTTAATGTTTATACAATTAGCAATTGCTACAATGTACACAAAGTAAAAATTATATCAATAACTATAGATTGCTCCAAATCTCTATCTCCACAAGTTATGAATGCGTAAACTTTAGCGGTCAGTAAAAACTATTCTTAGTTTTTTATATTGTATAGGAAATAAATACATATATTTCCAATTTTTATAATATAAATATTTACTTACGCACAAAGTGATAATGTTCTATAAATGTATTACTTTTATCGAGTATTAAAATTTTATCCAGAGTATTCGAAGATCATTTAAATATATTTATTTTGCGTTAAATAAAAATATAAAAAAAAATACAGTAACGTATATTAGAAACGCCTCTAATTGAAAGTGAATTGAAAATACATCTAAGTGATATAGGTAAGACCTATGTAGCTGGTTTAATTAGTACAAGCTGAGGATATAAAATGAATACAAAGTTATGGGGTCTTCTAAATTGCAGCTCGTAATTTGGCAAAATATATAATGCACGTTATGAAACTCAGATATGAATGTATATTTCAAAGAGCCAAACTTTAAATTAGACACAGCGAACTGAACCAAACTGAAATACGACGTGAATTATGATTGCAAATGCGCTGAATTATGTGCAACTTGGTGTGTTTCTGCAAGAGTAGATCAGTGAGGCAAGTAATATGGAAATTATAGTTTGGAATACAATATTCATAAGATATGTAAAACAGAAATAATCTTTATTCAAGTAAACTTAACATAAGAACTTACTTTTGAATTGTAATTTTTTTATTAGATCGTTCAATTGGAATATAAATTCAGTGCGTGAAAAATGAGCAAGAATCTTGTCTATTACGTCATTTACGTATATGTTGTTCAACTTTACATTATATCAATCATCGCTTGAAAGATACACAAAAAATACAGACAAGTTTTGAATCTCCACCTACTTTCTTAAATTACCTGTTTATGATAGTATATTGGAAATAAAACTGAATTAATTATTATTAGTAAAAGTTTTTCTTATTAATTTTAGTACACAGTAGCGTATGGAGTATAATATAAATATATCGTTTAATGTACAGCGTTATAGACAATTTATATAGATAGGAAATAAACAATGAAATAAAGCCGTTTATTGTGGTTGTAAACAAGCCAGATCGAGTAAACTGCCAAATATATTTGGGGTTGTATTTCAAGTTAGGAGCCCCGGTTTCCCTTACAGAATCGTATCGATCGCTAGCTACCTGTGATTACTAATTATACCTATTCACAGACTCAATAATGGTACACAAAAATAAAACATTTACCGATTTTATGGTGAAACATTTTTATCTACAATCTTAAACTTAAGGTAGTTAAAACATAAAGATATTGGCCCTAGTTACTTGCCGAGCTTCCATAAAAGGGGACTAATTATTTTAAAAGCTTGTATGCTCACGTGTTTTGTCCCTTTCTCTATTTACTTATAATGTCACAATCATTCAAACAAAGAAATAAAACAATGAATAAGAAAGAAATAAAAAATATGAGTATCATTTACGGAACAAATTATTATGAATATCAGAGTAGTAAAAGTTTATATTGATAAGTCATTTACTTTGAGAAACAAATACATACGTGCTTATTTTAGCGACTTTGTTTAATCGATTTGTTGAGACTTCAAAATATTATACAAAATTTGAAATGGTATACCGTGTATAATATTTAGATACAACAACATACAATGTAACGCCATCCCAGATCCGGTAAAGGTTTTATTTAACGCAACACTTGACAGGCCAACATTACGCAGGGTATATTTGAATCCACCGTGACAGCGACCCAGCCTACCGACGTGTCCCAGATTAATTTTAGATTTGATATTAGTGATTCCTTCTCTACAGAATCAGTCAGAGACGTAAATTGACACAAAGGT